GCAATGTCTGGATGAAATCATCTAATGCTCCAATTTTCTATCCTTAACAGAGATACCAAATTTTATCTTCATCTCTAGAATCTTTGATTTATTTTTATTTTAATGTTATGTCTTATTCTTACTCTGATTTCCAATATTCAGTCCTATTTCCATACTCTAGATCTGAGAATGGTGTCTTTGCTTTAAAATAAGTCAAAGGAGCACTGAACCGAAATTTGTGACTGACTATAGAACTCTTGCTTAAAACTCACAAGTGTCCTTCATGTCCAGTACTTTGGAAACATTTTCTATGACTGCATGACAATATGTAAAATACACAAAAAACATGCCATAAAAGTTTATTAGGAAATAGGGCAGGTATAACCAAGAAGTTAGAAGAGGAACACTATTCAGTTCCTGTAGACTTGGGCAACTCTTGGCATTAAATTTGACCCCAGCTAATACAATTCCTGCAGCCCATAGCCCTTGTGAAATTTCCGTATCTGTGCATGGGTTATAATTTGGTTTGAGGGTTTTTGTTGTTGTTGTTGTTGTTTTGCATGTGTTTGTATTGATTTACTACCTCCACTTCAAATTTCTAAAATTTTGATAGGAACATCAATTTTTAAAGATGGAAATATATTTAACCTTATCTATCCCATTATCTTATGAGTAAAAAGGCTGAGGTCAAAAGAAACACAAGAGCTAATGTACACAAAAGAGATAATATCACATTCATCTTTAATATCGTTTTCACATACAATAGAAGGAAGATCACTCAGATAAATTCGTTTGTTCAGAAATTCCTAACTCTTATAGAAGATTTGAGTAAAAAATATTCTATGTAAATATGTGAGGTCACACCATGGCCCTTAGGTAGAGATATCTAGAAAAATGGAAAACAGAAAGTAGCCTAGAGTTGCTGTTGATAATGAAGAGCCAGACTCAAGAATTTCTGTGTGGGAGCAATAGATCACTAATAAATAGTGACTGAACTTGATCTTGTCTTTCTCACTGTGGTCCACAGTACTGAGTGGTGAGCATCCTGATCCATATCTATAACACACACAAACATGCTAAATAAAAGGGATTCTTCTTTCAGTGATATTAAGAAGTCTGTAGCATGTGTAAGGCAATTTTCCAGTTAAATGTATTTATGGAAATGTGAAAAGCTTAAACATAATAGTGCATACAGTGTGGATTGAAGCACATAATAATGCTGGCTCTGAAGTGGTTCATAATCAAACTGCAATACCAAATTTACACCTGGGGATGTAGCAGAGTGATAGAGAATCTGTCTAGCTTAAGCAAGCATTGAATTCAATCCCTAGTACACCAGGGGGAAAAGAAAGAAAATGCTTAGACCAAGCTAAGCAGAGTCCCTGATCTGGGTTTTCTTGTCAGGAAAACTTTTTGTGCTTTAGAGTAGCTTCCTCAAAATTTTAGAAGTCCACATCTGGTGCATGATAACAACAAGGCTCTCTGGGGTGTATGCCCTGACCCTGAATCAAACATAGAAGTCCAATTCTCCTCCTTAGAGAACTCTGTTACTATCTTCTTCCTATAACCACCAGCTTGCGGAGTTTCCCATTTTCCCCAAGAAGTTCTGTGATTTCTGCCTATTGGGCTGTCCTGTGTTCTCCTGGCTGGGACTTGGCTTCAAGAGAATGGTTTGGTGACCAGATGAGATTCCCTCTTGATAGTATAGTTTTCTTTCATGAAATCACACAAGATGAGGCCACCATAAGGTGTTGACATGCTAATAGGGTGATTCTTAGATCAGACCCAAGATGTAGTCAAGACTCTGGTTTACCAAAGTTTCACCGTTGAACCTTGGACTCAAGCCATGTGTTAGGGCTGTATGTTGTATCTCACTCATCTGTTTCCAAAAGCAAACACTGCCTTCTATCTTTAATGCTCATGGTGGCAGAGAGAACAGAAGACATTACCATCCCCCAACCAACAACCCTGGCACCAGGACGCAGAGTGGTCATTCCAACCCCTACAGCAGTTTCCACATAACCTGTCAGGCATTTGCACAGAAGTGGCTGCATTAGCCTTTTTTTATGTACCAAGGATTGAACCCAGGGATGCCATGCTACTGCAAAGTCTTTGAGATCATTATTCTGCAATGCCACCATGTACTTCCAATCTATGTCCTGATTGACCCTCTGTGTATGGAGGAGACTGTTAATCCCACCCTGCCCCACAACACATCACCCCCTACTCCAGCTGGTGGCACTATGCGAACAGAAGCATTATGGTCAACATTAAAACAGATCCCCTAGAAATGCAGAAACCAGAGTCTACATAGTTCAAGTGGTGGAAAGATATTTTGCTACAGTTATGCTATAAAGTTCCTAACAAAAAATTAACATGAACAGTAAAAATGATCATTCAATTTGAGAGGGAGCATGGGAGGAACAGACAAACTCTAGATAGGATAGAGGGGTGGGAGGGGAAGGGAAGGGGCAGGGGGTTAGAAATGATGGTGGAATGTGATGATCATTATTATTCAAAGTACAGGTATGAAGACACGAATTGGTGTGAATATACTATGTATACAACCAGAGATATGAAAAATTGTGCTATATATGTGTAATAAGAATTATAATGCATTCCGCTGTCATATATATATAATAAAGAAAGATTGCTATGGTTAAGTCTGGTATTTGTTGTCAACACCAATGAAGCACTAAAAGAAACTTTGAGCCAGGCATGATGGCATGTGCCTGTAACCCTAGTGGCTTGGGAAACTGAGGCAGGAGGATCCCAAGTTCAAAGCCAGCTTCAGCAACTTACTGATGCCTGAACCAAGTTATTTTTTATAATGAGACCCTGTCTAATAATAAAAAATAAAAATGAACTAGAGATATGGCTCAATTATTAAGCACCACTTTAATTAGCACTAAAATTTAATTAATTGATTGATATAATTAAGTTTAAATATAGGAATCTACAGAAAAAGTTTAAGACTGCTTTGTCAGTATTAGTCAAGTCTCCAGGGAAAAAAAGTTGACAAATTCAACTTGAGCCCTAAACTTGCCCAAGTATGTGAACATTTTAGGGAAACCACAAGGGACATTAGGGACAGTAATTGTAGGATATTTACAGCTCCCTGCTGGAAAAGGGGCAGGGGTTCCTGGAATCTAGAGCCCAAGAGAGCATTCTGGAAAAACCTAAATGTCAGGAATCGAGATTGATTGTGAGGCCTGTGGGGACACTAAGGACACCGGCAGTGAGGGAGCAGGCAGAACCAGAACAAATATCTTAACCCACAGTCTCCCGCTGCCCTCCTGTTGGCATGTTCCCTTTTCTGAACCCAAACGGATGCCGTCAATCAAAGGAAACTATCACTGAAGTACGTAGTCCTGAGTCCTCAGCAGAGTACAGAATATACCTGGAGAGACAAAGGAGGTCACAGACAGCACACTGGCCCAAATACATGAAGAACTGAAGGAAAACAGACTTGAAGACCAGAGTTTTCATATATTCCCTTTCCAATTACTTCTTTGCTCTTTATTTCAGGATTTTTGTCTCTAATACTAGATACTGTGTCCCTTTTTGTTCTGAGTTGTTAGAATAGTTTTGTATTATTTTAGATAATCCAAGAGTTAACTAAAGTGATGTTGATTTAAAAAATCATTCACACTAATACACTTTGAATTCAAATCTAGTATGTTTGCACTGAGGTTGACATGGGAAAAACGAAACAAACCTTGTAATCACCACACATATTACCTGCTTATACTCCTAGGTTTCTCACACAATTTTATAGAATTAATTATACAAGATCCAAAGTGGTGTGAAGAAACAATTGAAATGTTAAGAGTATCCTTTCCTATTAGAGTATTCACAGATATTGAAGAAAACATTGCACTTTCTAAAGCTTTGATGAATGTTGTAATTTAAACACATGAACATAATAATGTATGGTGAGATTATCAAACTTTATAAATAATAACTAAATTATCAGGAAAAGTTACCTATGTCCTTTATATTTGTTTGTTCGTCATAGTTATACAAAGTAGTGGTGTTCATTTTGACAGATTCATAAAAGCATATAACATAGTTTAATCCATTGCAATCCCCAGTACTTCCTCTTTCCTGCTTCACATTACTGTATTGCATAAGAAATAAGTGCTTCCTCGGGATAAGATTGTTTTAACCTTGGAGATATACAAGCAAAGATATGCCTAAAATACCTTCAAAGTTTGCAGTTAGCATGATAGCTCACAGAAAAATTCACATTATTTGTTTAAAAACTGTAGTTGATTTGATTATTACATATCCATATTCATCAAAAGACAAAAAAATTGTTAATTTAGCTTTAATTTATTATCCATTTATTATTATTATTTATTTTATTTAACATCTAATTATTATATTGTCTCAGCAGAAATTCAACAAATGTAGACTCAATTAATCAAGGAGCTTCAGTTTGGCATATGAGCATTACTGACATCTAGTGGTCAAACTAAATGCATTTCTTGAACAAATAAATGAGGGTCCTTTACATGAGCAATCTAGTGAACTAAAAAGGTAACTGCTATTGGTCCATCTGATATTTAATCTGGTTTTGAACACCAATAAATTCTATTTAAAATAAGTAATAAGAATGTTGTTCATTTCAATAAGTGTATGGATCTGTTTTCAAACACACTGCTACTCTAGCCACATAAATTCTTTCACTTGTTAGAAAAATTATGTGTATTGTCATTGTTATGACTCCCGAGTGTTTTACAGAGAAGCATTAGTTGCAGAGAGGTTAAGAAATGTTTTATCAACTATCAAATTACAGAAAATAGGTCTAAAGTTAAAGTAACCATAAACTATCTCTGATTTCCAAGTGTTAACTTCAAAGATAAAAGTTGCTAAAAATTATAAAAATTGCCAATGTTTGTTTATAAATAAATGCCTAATAGTTTCTGAGAACTTTGTAAGAATTACATTATTATATAGTTACAGAAATCCTATACGTTGACACAATATTTTATCATTTTCCATGTGAGTAAACCAAAACTAGGACTTAGAATGTCACATGAAGTAGATCAAAATCGTAGAAAAAAAATTAGTGGATCAGAAGTTATGTTTTTAATCTGTTCTCTAAACTTATTCCCTTTATATAAATATATATTTATTTTTATGTTTATCTAAATTAATAACATATAGAGAGTTAGAGTCACTAAATGCTCACAGAAATCATGTAATATAATTCTTCAGTTATAAACCTTGAGATATATATAGCTCAAGGTTTGGAAACTAGTTAGAATCATATCTCTGCTACTTATCTATATTTCTGAGTTGACTTTGAGGAGCTTCTGGGTTTTCCTACAGTGCTCTTTTATTGCCTGTGCTGACTCTCTGCCAAAAATAACTGTTCATTGAGTGAAACATTGGGATTTAAAGAGTTGGTGTGAGGCCACTATTCCACCATTTCTGACTAGACTTATGGGACCTGTTTAGGAGAGAATATTCACTAGAGGTTGCACAGATAGCAAGTGACTGGGAACCAGAAGTCTCTGACTGGAAAACAGAGCTCTGTCCTCTGGGATATGAAAAGCTCTATCCTAGGTCCAGAGACATAACCTGCTTGTGAAGGCTTTTCCCAGGGGACTAGAGTGGCTGTCTATTTTCTTGGTCCTGGCTTGTGAGAACTCAGTCACATTTAGTTTGCAGTCTGTGGCATCCAGTCCTTGAGGAATGACTTCTCAGATTCTGGGCAGAAGTAGGTGAGTCAGCTCCCCTGGTTTTGTTGAAAGAGGGCTCCAGTGACAGTAACCAAAGTGATCCCAGGAGTGGTAGAGCTCCAGTGAATCAGCCAGTGCTTCTGTGGAGGGCCATTTCCAAGGTCTGCAGGAAGAGAGAGAGGAGTCATGTTGAGGATAATCTGGATCAATTGCCACAAAGCAGACACTACACAGAAGCACACAGCAAAACATGCACAGTGACAAACCAGCAATCCAGTTTTTGCAAATACAGGAGCATATGCGTAGACACAAACATTTGAACAGATGCTGTTATATGAGAACACTCATTGTAAGCCACCAGTTGTCATGATTGATGGTTTTTTCTCTAAATCTTTTCATTTCATTGTCACTCGGAAGAGAAGCTCTTAGTAGTCAGTCATTCCAGGAGAAGATTTGTAGCATATTCAAAAATGAAGAATGATGGGTTGCAGGATGGGAAGCCTTTAAGCCTGGGTAGAGAGGTTATTAAATATTCTGCCTCTGAGGATGGAAGCCAGTCACTAGGAAGTTGAACTGGGAAATTGAATGTCTGAAAGGGGAAGAGAGGTTCAGAAAGTTATGGTGGAGAAAACCTTAGACAACATGCATGAAAGTGCATATTAAAATGAAAAAACTACAAAGTATATAAAAGGTGAAAAATATTGCATTAGTAGTGGTCACAATGATGGTATCAGTTTGCAAAAAATGTAGTGACATAGTAGAACTTTATTTTATTTTATTCTGCTGCTGCTAACCTTATTAAATATTCTGAATTTGTCATATATTTAGAATATCAAAGAAATTTTAGAAAGAATATTAATAAATAAGAGGATTCTAATAACTGCAGAAATCTTGTTTGAGACCAGGAAGCAAAATACTGCAATGCTAGGATTTAAGCCCCATGAATTTGAGGACTTTGACTAAATGGCTGGTGTACACCTGCATTTGGAGCAGCACCTGCCGCAGCATGCTATAAACGTTTCTCTTATGGAAACTTCTGTACTATACCTGATGGGGTCAGAAAATGGTAGTAATGATTAAGTTTGAAGAGAATTCTGAATATAGAAGTTGGGAGACTTAAGTGACTAGAAGCAGCTAGAACATGTAACAATTTATAAGGTTTTAGGACGTTGACACATGAGCTGTATTGCATATTAAAAACAATATAATAAATAAATCCATGTGAAATTAACATCAACTCCCACCCACTCATTCTAAGTGCTGTCACAAGGAGTCAATGGGATTTATAAAATATATATACATATAAATATAGAAGATATATATATACATATATAAATTTTTGAGGATGTATCTATACATATCCTCAAATCCTTTCCCTTAGCCCCACACAGAGTTCTGCTCCCTTCTCCCTTCTCATAGCATATGAATCACTGCTTCCTAATCTCAATGATTAATCTCATTAATAATTAAAGTTCATATGTTGATCAACTAGATGCTTTTCAAAAATGAAAAATATGAAGGAATTTTGGTGAAAAGAAATGAATTAGGGGGAGTTGTGGTAAAAGATATCCTGTTATCTCAGTATCAGTAAGAGAAAGAAAAACTGATTGAATAGTAGTTTCTGAAGATTAAGCCTACTAAATTATTTTTAAATTGACCTGCTCTAGAAAACCCCCATCACTAGCAGCAGGGTGCACCATAATATCATCTCCAATCAGATGTCAGTGATAAACATGTAACTGATTTGGCTACATGTATTCATACTTACTTTAATACACGTTCTCAGTGCAAGCAGATTATGGTTTTTCAATTGCAGTTGAATCATGTTACTGAAGCTTAAAGCTTACATTCTTTTCCATTGTTCCTAAGACAAGATAAAAATTCTTGGATTAACCACAAGAGCCTGCATTCTGGTTTTCTACCCCCTCTCATCTCATCGTTTCTGTGCCTTCTTTCTCAGCCAGGATCACACTGACCTTCCATTCCTTCATCTTTGCCATGTCATTCCTCACCACTCAAATCTTTTCCCATTCTTTCCATAAACTAGATGTTTTTTCTCTCCAACTCACCCTTCCATGTATCCATTCTCATCCTTCTGCTGTCAATTTAGCCAAAGCTCCTCAAGAAATCATTCCCCAAAAGTAATGATCAGGTTAGTTAAGCCCCTAGTGTACAGCAACTCCTCTTTGTAATCCAGTTGCAACTTACTTAAATGATCTGATCAGTGTTGGTCCTCCTCACTAACCTATTGGACCCACAAGAGCAAGACCACTCTGTCTAGCTCCTTGAACATTGATACTGTGTACCCAGTGATTATCTAGTATTTAAGTGCACTTGAATGAAGAATTGACGAGTGTTTAGAACTGAAGAGTGAGGGAATGTAGAGAAGAGGAAAGTACTGAGGATGACTCCAGGGATTCTTTCCTGGGACAATGTGTGTATCACACCATTAAGTATGGTAGAGGAAAAAGGAAAAGAAATGGTTTCAGGGTGGAGATGATCAAGTTGAAATGACCTTTATTAAATAAGATGTTGCATCTGTGGAAGTTATTATGTAAGGAGCTGATGAAGCCCGGGGCCATAGTTTGCAACCCCAGAAGATGAAGATTTCACTTGCTTCTGTAATGAATTTGACTTAAAAAGAAAAAAAAACTATTTTAACATCCAACAGAGAAGAAAGGCTACTTTAGACGTTAAACCTAGAAATATTTTTTTCATTGATAAGAGAATTACTAGAAATTTTTCATTTGCCGAGTTTAACTATGAAAATGTTACTGAGGTTATTGGGAGTTAATTCACTGTGACGGTGTTAGTGGGCAAATACTAACACCAAAGCTAGTTTAAAACATTAAGGAAACAATACAATTTTCCAATGCTATTTTTTTTCTTTTTAGTTATTTAATAGGTTCCTACTTATGCATAACATTAGAATTTATTTTGACAGAATTATAAATGCATGGAGTACAGTTTGCCAGTACTTACCCTTGCCCTCTGCCTCCACCCTCCCCTGTTCCCTTTCCTCTACCCTACTGATCTTTCCATTTATCTACATTCTTTTTATTAGTATCTTGTGGCATAATGGTAAAATTCACTGTAATATATTCATATGGGTATATTGGAAAGTTAGGTCAGATTCATTCCGTTCTTTTTCCCTTACCCCTACTATCCATTCTCTATCTCAATTTCCTTTTTCCAAAGCAAATATCTTTAGAAAATATAGTTCTTGTAATAAGTATAACCTAAAGGTTAAAAAGAACAACCATTTGATTGAATGTAGCGTATTAAAGAAGAGGACATGAATTTAAAGTCATAGAAAGCTGTGAAAGTATAAAATGAAATATAAATGTTGCTGCTTTTGCTGGTTTTTACCATTGTGTTCCTAATGCAGCCAATTTTAGGTGTTCCGTATTCATTCTTATTTTGCTGATAAGAAAAAATTATTTAGCTTTAGTCTTTAAGTTTTTTCTGCTAAGTTCTTTCTGCAGCTTCTTCATTGAGATAACTAATATTATTGAGATGCATAACCTCTATTTTTATTTAATCTTTATAATTAGCATAGAGAAATTAAACATGTGGTTGGTCTTTCTTGAAACGTTAGATTGAAGGAAGAATGAAAAACCACATAGGACAATGTGGAAATAGCTCAAAAGAACAAAGATGGTCAGATGTTTCATAACAGTAAAAATGAAAATAATTAGAAAAACAAAAAGTTGAACATGGATATAAATAGAACTTTCCAAAACTTAGCCAATGGGACACAATAACTATACATGGAATGTCTAAAGATATGTCACTTTCTAGGTACAACTAGCCCAGTCTCTATCTGAATCCCACCTAGAACCCATTCACAGAATATACATTGTCTTTTCTAATAATGTCCTACCTAGACTCATGCACACCTAAGCACCACATCATTTTACAGCTTGCCTCCAAGTCATAGGGGAAATTAAAACATAAGTAGAACACAAGGCACCAGACATCTTCAATTATTATAGTAAACTAGCCTGCAGCCAACTTAGACATATTATTTCCCATCACTATATCAGAAACTAGCTACAAAATTAATATAAACTAGACTGTTCTCAGGTTGAGGTCTTGATCTAACTTTAAAAAGACAGAGACATTGCCAGTGCCACTTCCCAGGCAGTATGAAGGGATTGTCCATTTACATAACATGGCATGAAAAGATAGAATAAATTATAAAAGGCTCTGAAAACTATCTGGTGAATCCAGTGTTTTATGTTCAGCTAAGGAACGTAATGTGGTAAAGGACACAATTTTTTAGTTCTAGGAAGGAACATTGTTTTCTTGAAATTATATAATAACCTCCAGTTGCATCTAAATGTTGCAATTCCATCCCAAATTCAGATCTAAGTATCAGTTATCCAATCCTCCATTTTTTCTGGATTTTTTCCCAGATAGCCTCTTCATAATTTCTCAGGAATATTTTACAAGAAAATATCATTGCTCAAACCACCAGACAGGTTGGGTTATCATCTCCCCCACAAACACTGTATCATAATATGATGATATTTTACACACACATACACACACACACACAATCTCAGTTATTCTTTACATCCTCATTAGTAATTATAATCAACAGTGAGTATTTGCTAATTTAATACCATATGCAGTTTCTTCCTTAGAGACTGACGGGACAAAAGAGATAGAAAGTTCAAGATTGTTGTTATATTTACAAATTTTACACATGGATTTTCTACAGATGAGGTGAATATTTCAAAGAAAATGTATCTGTTAACTGTCCTTGATATTCCCTCTCTAGGTCTCCTCTGCTGTGTTATGGAATTAAAGAATGGATGTCCCATTTCTCCAAGAAATAGGCAACATGCTATGACAGAAGTCAGGGTCTGTCACTGGAAGCACGAAAACTCCTATTAGAAATGTGCATATAACCAATTCCCACCAACATGCTTCAGATCAACAGCACACAGTTTCACCCTTCCTCCTTTCTTCTGATAGGTATCCCAGGGTTGGAAGATGTTCACATGTGGATCGGCTTTCCTTTCTTTGCAGTATATCTGATAGCCCTGCTGGGGAACATCATTATCTTGTTTGTGATTCAGACTGAACGCAGCCTCCATCAACCAATGTTTTACTTTCTGGCCATGTTGGCCTGCACTGATCTGGGCATGTCCACAGCTGCCATCCCCAAGATGCTAGGCATTTTCTGGTTCAATCTCAGAGAGATTGTGTTTGGTGCCTGCATCACACAGATGTACACCATCCACATATGCACTGGCCTGGAATCTGTGGTGCTGACAGTCATGGCCATAGATCGCTATATTGCCATCTGCAACCCCCTAAGATACACCATGATCCTCACCAACAAGGTGATAGCCATTCTGGGCATAGTCATCATAGTTAGGAATTTGGTGTTTATGACTCCTTTCATATTTCTCATCCTGAGATTGCCTTTCTGTGGTGTCAGGATTATCCCCCATACCTACTGTGAACACATGGGTTTGGCAAAATTAGCTTGTGCCAGTATTAGAATCAATGTTATTTATGGCTTCATTGCTTTCTCAGTGGGATTCATTGACCTTTCAGTGATTGGATTTTCTTATATTCAAATTCTCCAAGCAGTCTTCCATCTCCCATCCTGGGATACCCGGATGAAGGCACTCAGCACCTGTGGCTCCCATGTCTGTGTCATGTTGGCCTTCTACCTGCCAGCCCTCTTTTCCTTCATGACACATCGCTTTGGCCACAATGTCCCCCACTATATCCACATACTTTTGGCAAATCTGTATGTGGTTGTTCCCCCTGCCCTTAACCCTGTTATCTATGGGGTGAGGACAAAACAGATACGAGAGAGAGTTCTAATGATGCTTCATCCTAAAAGCCATTGACATTTAGCCCCAGGAGTATCTTCCACAGTAGTCCAATAAGGAAATAATGAGATCATACCAGAAGTAGAAACTGAAAATATTTTTGTTAAACTTCCGCAGTTAGTCAATACTGAGATCATATATAGCAGGAACATTTTTGTTTAACTCCTCTGACATTTCCACACAAGCCAATCACATTATGTATCCCTCCATTGCCCATAACTCCAGTACACCCATTGAAAGGCATAGCATAGAGATTCCACAACAATATCTCTACTATGATCCATGAAGAGTACAAAACAATATTCATGTTTAAGCCTACTGGTATCTCAAAATTCCTGAAGGGAGTAAGAGGTTTTGCAAAAACTTGTTGCAGCAACAAGTACCTTGAACAACTTCCTCCCACCTGGATATTTTCTCCATTCACATTCACAGGGTCAAGTTTATGAGTAGAAAAATGATGTGGGATTTCTTGTAAAACAACCAGAATACAGTGGCCAGAGAAATTAACTGACAGTCTTAAATTTTACATATATATTCGGGTCCTGGACTTATCTAGAAGTTTGACCAGAGAATTACAGTGAAAACTCTTTGAACATCAATATCCCTGTCAATAAAATGTTATAAAATAATATTAATTCAGCCCTAGGAACTTGAAAATACTGTCATGAAAATCTTCACAGCTTGTAAAATATTAAAAGATTTGGAAAAAAAAAAGGGTACATACTAAGGTAGTATTGTTGTGCCTTCTAACATTGCTTCTAGATTTACCTTACTAAATCCAATTCCAGTGCACAGTCCCTAGTCCCCCAGTTGAGTCTCTTTGTGATCCTCTCAGCCCGTACCTTCAGAGACACTCTCAGGCAGGAGGACTGAAGCCCTGACTAGTTTAATGGCCTCTATCTGGGCTTGAAGGATTGGAAAAAATCTTTGCCTCACAGTCCTCCTTGAGATGAACTTTGAGAGAGACTGCAATGGTGGCTCCTGCAAGAGCATAAAGTTATTCTCACCA